TGTGGAAAGCTACTTTTGAAAGTAATGCATTACAATATTGTGTTACCCTTTACGGAAATTAATGCATTGCGTTACTTTTACGTTATTTTTTTTAGTCACCTGGGCTGGGCTTGCTTATTAGACAAAAACCCAAAGGTTATACTTTTAGCAACTGTAAAGGCCCTTTCACACCAAAAGTGAAATTGTGCCTCTGCACCTCATTTCTCTCAACACTGGGACAGGACAGCTGTCAGTCAATAAATGGGAAAACAAAGTAACTTGCGTTCCCTTTCAGTTGGTCACTCCGAGTCACGTCGGTGACCGACGAATTGGGATCTCGCTTAGAGAGACCAATCCACTTTGAGTGTAAACTAAACGAGCCAATGCACATTGGCATGCGATGATTGCATCCAGCTGCCGCTGATCACAGTGTGAGCATAAAAAGGCAGCCAGTGCAACGCATACCAGCTTTTCACTTCGGAGCTGAGCGACAACATCATTCTGCTCCTACCAAACTGCTTCGTGTGTGAAGAGTCTAGAGCGCTCTCTGGAGCTTTTTGTGATGGCGGACGGCGCTTCAATGGTGGTCGTTCCTGTGCCGAGTGGGTTGCGCACTTCAGGCTGCACTACCCCCTGTCGTGCTGTGAGGGACGCCGACAAAGTTTGTTTCCTTAATCCCCCTGTGTCCCAGACCGGCCTCTTCGGCGACGCGGTCGAGAGCTTGGCCCAGCAAATGTTGACGCAGAAACGCATCTTCGGGTGCATCCATCCCCGAGATTGGTTTGCAGCGATTGACCTGAAGGATGAGTACTTTCATGTGTCGATCCTTCCGCGCCCCAGACCATTTCTGCGGTTCGCGTTCGAAGGGTGAGCATATCAATACGAAGTCCTGCCGTCCAGGCTGTCCATGTCGCCCCGTGTCTTCACGTAAGTTGTGGAGGCAGCCCTTGTTCCCCTGAGAGAACAGGGCATTCACATTCCCAACTACCTCAACGACTGGCTCATACTAGCTCAGTCTCAGCATCAGCTGTGTGCACAAAGGGAATTGGTGCTTTCGCAGCTCAGCCGGTTGGGCCGTCAGGTCAACTGGGTAAAGAGCAAACTCTCCCCGACGCAGAGGATCTCTTTTCTCGGTATGGAGTTGGGTTCGGTCGAACAGACAGCACGCCTCACAGAGGAACGTGTGCGGTCGGTGCTGACTTGCTTGAATTCATTCAAGGGCAGGACAGCGGTCCCACTGAAACTATTTCAGAGGCTACTGGGGCATATGGCAGCTGCAGCGGCACTTACACAGCTAGGGCTATTGCATATGAGACTGCTTCAGCACTGGCTTCATGGCCGAGTCCCGAGGTGGGCGTGGCAGCGCGGC